TTCATATCACACGTAGTAACTTGCTTAGTATAATCAGCATTATCATCTTGTTCCGGATCTTCAATTTTGACCACAAATGTTTCTGGATCTTTTTGTTCAGTAATGCGGTATGGCCCTTCAAATTGTTCGTGAAACTTGGATGACTTGTCTAGAACTTTAATTAATACCAATTCACCAATTTCATATTGTGGATCAGGACGATTCTTATCAAATCGTTGTTTGGCCAATGAATTTTGATGTTGTGTATTGGCTGTTACAACTTGTTGAAATAATAGCCTTGATCGTCTAATAACATCCCAATATTCATTAGGTTTGGATAATCTGATTTTTAACTGTTTTCGATCCATTAATGGTTGAGGTTCACGGCCAACGGCCAAACATCAGCTGATATGGTGATAATCCTGTTGTTGCATGTTTACCGGTATTGTATGCATAAACACATGATGGAAGATATGTATCCCAGTCCTGCTGTTCCTTGTCAAATAGTTTCGCCAATGATGGTGCAAATGTGGCATTAAACCGTTCAGTTTGACCGTTTGACATAGGATGATAAGGTGTTGTAAGAACATGTGTTGTATTACATTGTTGAACCACTGCTTGGGTTAACTCCGATGTGAAATGTGAACCATTATCAGTTATCAATTTTGTTGGTGGGCCAAATTAACAAACAACTTCATAGAAGAACTTGGATGCTTCTTTGGCCGTATTGGTTGGAACAGGCTTCGCAAATACGAATTTCGATAAATAGTCAGTCATGGTGATAACATACCGATTGCCATGTATTGATTCTTCATTTGTAGGACCCCAATAATCCATACCAACAATACCAAGAATTTCATGTGGAGTTTCTATTGAATGCATTAATCCTGGTGGTTTTGTTCGACGAATGTTATATTTTGAACATGGCAAACATGATTGAATATAATTAATGATGGAATGTTTCATATTTCGCCAATAACACTTGTTTTTTAATTTTTCATATGTGCGCGTGATACCGAAATGGGCACTTGATGGATGATCATGAAATAAGAATAATACGTCTCTGATTAATGAACGTGGTAAATATGGTAATCTAATGGTTTGGAGTCCACGTGGGATAAGTCTGTATAAAACATCATCAACCATTTCATAATGTTGATTATTGATCATGTGTTTAACAATATTCTGAATGTTTGCATCAAGGCCTTGTTCATGTTTAATTCGTTTCATGGTTAAATCGACATGTGGAATCGTCGTTGTTATGGTGGAGTGCAATGGCAGTGATATTTCGCTTGCAATCAATGAGGGTGAAACAGACGATGTTGTTGTAGACGTGGAAACATCATTCATTGTTATAGGTGTTGTTGATTTGTTCTAAACCATCTGGCTGCTTTACCACGTAGATACGATGCCAATTCTAAGATCAAACGATCATCATCATAACTAACCTTTTGTAACTGAATTATGGCAATATCCAACCATTCTTGTGCATCAGTAAAACATGTTGGTGGTTGATCATCAAACAATGGGATCTTGAATAATGTCTTTGGTTCACAAACAATTTGAAGGGCCATACCGCATTACTGAACAAAAAGATCCAGAAACATTTGTGGTCAAAATTGAAGATCCGGAACAAGATGATAATGCTGATTATACTAAGCAAGTTACTACGTGTGATATGAA